CACACTGGCCTACTTGCCAAATGCCTTTTTTTCTAAATTTTGAAATTGGTGTACAAGATTGCAGGCACACAATTTGATCTTGAACAAAATACAAAGAATTTTCATTATCTACATATTAAAAACTACAGATGTACGTAGGGGTTTTTAAAAATATTGATTTTTTTAAAAATGGCAGCTATTTTATGAAAAATGCATTTTTCGCCAATACAAGTCTTTCTTAAAATAACTGGCTTCTTAAAATAATTTTAAGAAAAATCAATATTTTGAAAAATCCCTATGTATCTCTTTAGTCTTTAATATGTAGATAATGAAAATTCTTTGTTTTGTTCAAGATCAAACTGTGTATCTGGAATCCTGTACATCGATAAAAAAAAAAGGGAGTTTGCAAGTGTAGGTCAGTGCGTCGCCATTTTAGACATAAGAAAAATAAAAAAATATTTTTTTAGTTTCTTATATATGTACAATAACGTCCTCTAAACAGATTTTAAATAAAGTTATCCATTTACTCATAAAAAAATCCCAAACTTTAGGTATCGTTCTAAAACTTCAAAGGTGGTATAACCCCTTAATAGTTACCGATAAAATGTAACTAAATTAAGTTAAAAGTTAAGAGCCTAAAATGTAACTTCTAAGTTCAAATTATTTAAACTTATTAACACAATTATTAACTTTCTAACTAGACACTATCCAATTCTGATTAAAACTATTATATTGAAAAAAATAATAAATTATTTATTCAATTACATTTACAACAGTAATTGAATCCAAATACAACCCAATTTTTGTTTTAATGTCTATCATTCCTTCCTTGCTGTTTGCATTTTGACAATGGGATAAAAAAATTCAAAATTTTAATTTTTTAGAAAATAAGATTCCAGTAATATCTAGTATAGAACTGTCGTTTCTGAGACAGAATGTTACGTGCTTGGTTACATGTACAAAGCTCGTTGTGAGCGACACAAAGGAGATAGTAGATATCAAAACAAAAATTTTACTGAAAATTGTATTCAAATCCTGATCATTGCTTTAATAAAACAATAAACTTACTTGACTTTCCTCTCCTCTGCCTTCCCAGGTTTGGTACGCTGGGCCCTATCACCCATACGAGTACCATCCAATTTGCCAACAAGGGACATAACCTCACCGGTAGCCTCATCTCGGCTACGTCGTTCTATTAACCGAACGTCAGCTTGTAAAACGAGATTGGAATTCTGCAAATGTTAGCGCAATATAATGCACCATACAATATACAATGTAATAAACGTACACATAACACCGTAAACATAGTTATAAATATGTAAAATAAAAATTGCACATTATAAAAAAAATGTACATATCAAAATAATTAAAAGCAACAATGTCATGATTAAAGTCAATAATCAAAAATAAAAAATACAAACCGCTTTATATTCGTATTGTAATTGACGTGCAGCAGCGTCCGCCATGGTTTATATCGTTTTTAATTGTTTTTACAGAACAATCTCCAACCTCCAACGACCATTGGATTCTTCTTCTTCTTTTACTATGGCGTCCGTTTTTCCCTTTGAGTATATAGTACATGGAGATGGAATGCCTTTATTCTTTGTAAGCCGCAAGCGAGTCCAAGCCTGCGTTCCGCAAAGCGCATCATGCGCAAGATTTATCTTTTTATCTTTGTTTAACATTTGGTGAACAAGGATACCATAATACATCATGCGCATGATGCGCTTTGCGGAACGCAGCCCTAGAGTCCTAGATTATCAGAGAAGCGCGACCGGCTTATGGCAGTATCGCAAAAGTACTAGAAATATATTAAAAATGGCGTCGAATGACCAATCATAAGTTTGATTTATTCGGCAGCCATTTATAATAGCGATAAATCAATCTTATGATTGGCCATTTGCGTGTCCAATCAGGACTCGTAACACCGGTCGCGCTTCTCTGATAATCTAGGACTCTACGCAGCCCAAGAGTGGCAAGGAGTGCGAGAGAGAAAGGTATATGAGCGTACCACGTGATACTTCGTTCTCTCTGTCTGTCGAATGATTGACGCATGCGCAGAGAGGACAAACATTACTCGTCTACCTTTCTCTCTCGCACACATCTTTGGACACAGTTTTCGAGCTAACATTCCCCCTCCATGTCTATATTGAAAGGATATTACTAGCCGGTTTTATTACCGGCGAAAGGATGTAGAGATATTTGTCAGGAATATTGGAGGAACGTAACTAGGGTAGACACTCGTGGTACACAGTAATTAACAGAACACAGGTTTATTCAATTAACACGAAAAAGGCGCTCGACTCGCGAGGCATAATGGCTGAGATCTTCTCTCGTCGACAAAAGACTTAAGACTGTTTCACCGTCTCCAGGCGGAA